TAATGAAGAATAAAACCATTCGGTATCGAGATTTAGCAAGTTCAAAATAAGTTGAAAATATAACGATGGAATGAAAAAAATTGTCGATAACATTTTGAATATTTAGTAGCAAATGCAGATGTGCTTAAGAGCGAAAAACACCACACAAGCAGCTTTAAAAACCAAGCGAAATATGCCTTTGCTTAAAGCTATTTATGTTGTGCACGGGGTTCTTTGAAGGTTTGACAAGGCGTTTGAGGGAAATGTGAGCAAAAATCTAAATTTTTTGATATTGTGGCCGCCATGTTGACGTTCGAACCCTTTACGTTGTGTATGATAAAATCGCCTGATTAGCAACGGAATTTTTACCGAATGAGGACTTAAATATATATCTGTAAATATATTTTGAGTGAAAATTCCTCAAAATAAAATCCTCAAAAAATACTCAAGCGCACCCGAAATTCCTCGCGTTTTGAGGAATTACTTACAAAGTGGCAACACCAGAATGACCCAAAAATATTCTTGGATGGGCAGTTGGGTATTATATCGTCATAGAAGCAAGAGCAACTTACTGGCAATTTTTAAATTTATTTTTTAAAAAACTTTTTTTGACTTCGTTTAAAAAATTTCACTTAAGCCGATTTTAACTATGAATTTCATTTTATCTCGTTGAAGCTTTACGAGTGGTTTCAGAAAGGTAAATGGTTTCATCACTGGTCAACTTAGAAATAGGCTGCCTCAATATTATGCATAAAATAAAAACTCTTCTGATCAAAGTTTTTTGATACTAATTAATTTATCTATGTATTTTTAAGCAGTAATTTCTTATTTGAAACGAGTGATTTTTAGGCAAAAAACAAAACCGACTTCAATTCTAATAGAAAAATTTTAAAGTATGGTTAATTTCTTTCTAACCAATTGATCGGATCTTAAAAAAAAAAATAGTTATAGAAATCGGTTAACGTGGTCCAAGATTATGCGGTAACATACATAAAAAAAAAATATTCCCACGGATTAATAACCTCTTCCCCTTTTCTAAGTCGGTTAAAAAATAGTTCGTAAAGTGCGTAAGTGAAAAATGATTTTTGTTCTGTGAGTTTTCATATTAAATTCAAACAGAAAAATCATTTTTCACTTAAATTGCTTTCGTGAAACTAGCCATTAGTCTTGGAAAATTCATTTCTAACCGACTTCAAAAAAGGAGAAGGTTATCAATTCGTCGGAATATTTTATTTTTTTTTTTATGTGTTACCGCATAACTTTGGACCACGTCAACCGATTTCGAAAGGCGGTACCTCAAGGGTGATCCCATACTAATTTCGTTTAGATCCGATAATTGGATCACGAAGAAATTAACGCTACACCTAAAATTTTATATGAGAATTGAAATCGGTTTTAATTTTTGCTAAAAAATTACTTGTTTGCAGCTGTATATCGTGGTGGCAGCCGCATAACAAAGTGATTAGGGTGCGAACTTCCCTCCGTAGGAATTGGCGCTTGGTTCGGTTAACAACGAAAAATTATAAAGAGCGGTCGTCCGTAGACAGGCAATGACAAATCTGCGAGTCAATTTTTGGCCATGAGAAACATTTTTATAAAGAACCATCCACCATTTGCAGGTGGCATAAAATTACAAGTGCTTCCATTTTTGCCACACAGCATAAAAATATTAGACATTTCGGACAACATTCTTCCACTGAAATTATATGTATCTATATAATTTTTTCTTAAATCCTTCATCCATTTCAAAAGCTTCGTCCAAAGGACTATATCTGCCGTGATTCGCACAACGAATGCGATCTGCCAGAATATTGTGATGGTGAAATTGGTCACTGCCCAGCTGATGTGTTTAGAAAGAATGGATCACCGTGTGGACATACTAAAGCAGGAACATCGGGTAAGATCGGGGAAATTTTAATGTTGAAATTTATTAAAAAAAAAGAAACAAATGCACTTCTTTGAGTTTTGCAAATAACTATGCAACTTGTACATGAATTACAAAAAAATATATGTTTCGGTTATTTGCACGTCTAAATTTAAAAAGAAAAAGTTATAAATTATATGATAGTAATTAATATTATTACACCGACTCTATATAATTTTTTAGGTTACTGCTTTCAAGGTGACTGTCCCACCTTGAATCTGCAATGCGAAGCCATCTGGGGCTATGGTGGCTCGGCGGCCGATCGGCAATGCTATGAGCAATTCAATTCAAAGGGTTCAATCAATGGCCATTGTGGGCGTGACGCAAATGAACATTACATCAAATGCGAGCCAGAGTAAGTGTGACTAAAAATTTCAAGGATTTTATTAACTGACATATAGTTTTGCCTCCCCTTCTGCTCATTAAAAACGTTTAAGGGAAAAAATAAATTATATGCAAATAATAATATATTTAATATCTAAAATACGTAAAAGAGGCCTAATTTTTATTTTCCAATATATTTTTAAGCTTGCTCGCAATTTTTAGCTCTTAAATTTATATTTTGTGCATTTGCTTTTTTCTGTAGAAATGTTCAATGTGGCACACTGCAATGCAAGGAGGGCGAACGGCAGCCAGTCAATGATGGCATTGATCAACTTTATTCGAATACAATAATCTCAATAAAAGGATTGGAGTATGAATGCAAGTAAGTGCAAAAATTCCAGCGATTTATCTCTATTAACATATGTATATAAAAAGGCGATTATTCAAAAACTTTATAAATCTACATATCAACTATTTTATTGCAACTAAGTGCATAACTTTTTTCACTTATCGGATTGGCGCTCAATTCGCGTTCACTAAAGTGATAAACTTAAACGAAACAAAATTTTATCACAATATATACATACATACATACACACATACTATGTACAGCAAGTTTAAGTTTTTGTAAAAAAATTTTAATATTATTTTGCAAAACGAATCGAAATTTTGAAGCGCCAAAAATAGTTTCACCTCATCACTTAATAGAACAAGAATTGGCGCATTGTTGCGTGAATGAAATTTAAGTTGGCATTTCAAAAGTTGCAGTATTAGTTTACTAAATTTCCAAGAAGAAATCATTTTTTAATCAACTAACACTAAAATGCTTTTGTACCGAAGCTAATTTTTTTTTTTCAATTACACTCACGGCAAGAAGTATTGGCACAGAGAATTTTTCACAATATATGTATGCAACAATTTTTATTTTCATTTTTTCCGCTAATTTCTTATAAAAATATAAGTGCTCAAAAATCGCATTGATTTTTGAGAATATTTTTTCTGCACAAAGTATTTTCAATTTTTTTTTATACATATATAAGAAAATACGTGCTATTGAAACTTGCATTTCATTATAGTAAAATTTAATTCAAAATTTTAAAATTTTCATGAAAATTTATTGAATCGATTTTGGTTTTTTGCTTAAAAATTACTTGTCAAGCAAAAGAAACTTTTATTTTCAATATATATATGCAAACAATATATTGTTTTAGTAAATAACAATAAATTTTGCAATTCTTTTCAAAGAAGCTGTTTGACTTAAGTAATTTCTTTTTTAACAGTTCTTCAGTTATCTTTCTTACTCTTTCTCCATTTTCCTGGCCGGAAATTTTCTTTTAGTAAGGAGCTTTTGAAACCCACAATTTCGTTTTCTAAATTTTTTAATACCAGAATTTCGATACTAACCCCCTTCGACTGCAACTGTCCTCAAAATAATAGGAATGCGATATTTGACCAGCTTTTATTATATTGTATCTATGCTTATACTTTTTTATAAAAACCGTATAAATCCAAAATTTAAAGTAGAAAAAGAAATACTCACAAAATTTAAAACTTTTAAAAGTTTTAAAATAAATTTTGGCGTATGCAGTTTTATAGCGAATTGAGTTTTAATAAAATTAAAGTGTATGTTCCAAGTGTCTTCAAAATACCGTTGATTTTTGCATTTTTTTTTTGTTCACGGTGCCACGCATTTTCTTCCATAAAAAGTATCCTCGACAAGTTTTTTTTATATGAAAGAAAGACCTATGTCAAAAAAAAAAATTGCCAAAAATCGCTTTCTAAGCAACTTCAAACTTGCACTTTATTATACTTAAATTTAAGGCTGCTTATCTGAAAAATTTCTAAAAGTTCTGTGTAAAAATTTTGAAATTGCGTTGAAAATTTGTGTGCTTTTTATAATTTTTGCACAAAGTTTTAAAACTCGATTTATGTGGTTTTTGTTATATAAAGATATATATATATTATAAATGCCTTTATAAAACTTTAATGAAGATTAAACAAACAAATGAAAAATATTCACTACTGGTCAAATTATCGCCTAGCAATTATTTTGTGAACAACTGTACATCCCTACATACATATATGTATCTATAAGTAAATATGCATTTGCTAAACACAAGAATATTTAAATGTAAAATTTGTGCCTTCTTTTGAGCAAATGATTTTCTCATCCAATGCCCTTATGCCCCTTCCTTCTCCGACTTATTATTTAATTTAATTTATTTTCTCATTTTCAATTTCTTATTTGCCTTAATGAACGTTTTCATCAATTCCATTTTGTTCACTTTTTCTGCAGAGCCACCAGCGGTCAAGTGGGCACCAATGAATATCCAGAACATGGCTTGGTGAAGGATGGTACGCCATGCGGTAAAGATTTGATTTGTCTGAATCAGACTTGCGTCAGCATTTTTTCCACACATCGATCAAACAAAATGTCCGACAAATAAACAAGGCCAAGAGTGTTCAGAACGCGGAGTAAGTAAAAAAGTGAAACTAAAATAAAAACACAATCATACACTTTAAAGCAATAAACTTGAACTCAAGCTAATAATAAAGAAAAAAAATACAAAAAATAAAGCATCCACTTGTCAATGAATATCTGTGCATAATCGGAAAGAAAAGCAAAAAAAAAAACAAAAGCATTCAATATAATAATTTTAATGCGATTCATTATTGAGGTATTTCCGCAGCCAAGTGAATGCCGCAATGTGCGACATCAAAAGAATTCTTCTTTATACTATATACCAAATAATGAAAATATACAATTTACTACGCGCTGTGCTGCTGCTGCAGCTGTAGCTTCAAATTTAACCATTTAAGCCCAGTGGCCATTCATTCAACCATTAAAGTATTTAACCCACAATAATGAGCAGCGCTTCAGAGGTGATTACGCAGTCGTAACCGTAGCCGCAACCGCACTGCTAGGCGCCTGATTAATGCGCTCAGAAATAAGATACCAAAAAAACAAAACGAGAAAAGAAACAAAAGCAATACAACAACAAGCAATTTCATGCATGAAATTATAACGAAAAGTACGAAAAATAAATCGAAAATATTTTGTGGTTGAAATTTGCAGCAACGGCCAAGCAAATGTATGAAAAGTGTTGCGTATACGCCACGTCGACCCGCAGACGCCTGCAATAATTCTTAACGCCAACAGTTAGCACCGAACAATGACAACTACAACACAAATGAAAGATTGCACTACAAAGAGAATATTTGTGTTGTGCAAGTATGTGCGCGTATATGGCGTGTGTGTTTGTGCAGTAATCGGCCAAAATGCGACCGTAAATTCCATGCAGTGACTCATTTACGGTCGGTCATTGCTGACGGACTACTAAAGTGCAGCGCAACGATGGCACTCACATACACATACATATGTATGTCTGAGCTCAGCGGCAATAGCAAAAGCATTAACAAGAAAATACAACAACGAAACGAAATCAGTTATCTGCTTGTCCGGCCAGAATGTCGACAGAGCTAATTATTGGGTCAACGCTGGTTGCCATTCGACTGTGAGCTGTAGCCAATGTATAAATAGGCTTAAATGTAATTAAAAATTTAAAATATGTCGTTCCAAAAGCTTTCGGCACATAAACAAATGCACACACCGAGGGTTATAGCCAAAAAAGCTTTTACGCGACTCTGCTACTCATTTTAGTTGCTCAATGGCTGGCTGATTGGTGGCCCGGTTTGGCTGGTTGGCTGGCTATCTTTGGGGCTGGTGGATTTGCTGATTGGTTTGTTGAATTATTCGACTCGCTGCAATGTCATTTTGCATTTTTAATCCATATTGATAGCTGCAACTTTTAATGGAAATATTGTTTATGCGAAGCTTTCACGTTGATTACGTTTTCTGTACGTATGAATGCACTTGTAATATATTTTACAATTTGGATATGTCTGAAAATCGATTAGCAATGACAACCAAATTTGAAATTAATCAAATTTATTTATGTATAAATGCAATGTTGCCCACAAAATTTTCAGCTAGCCAAATGTATTCATCACTTTTTCAAGTAATTACATTTTTAATTAATTATTTTCCTCATTGTTTTTTTCTTTTTGTTTTATTTTTTTTTTTCTAATTCCTCAGGTCTGTACGAATACGAATCGCTGCTTTTGCGACATGGGCTGGGGCGGCATCGATTGTAGCCTTGTAGTTTTATTGACCACACCACTGCCAACGGAAGCGCTGCCAACCGCGGAGAACACTATCAAAATGGAGAAGAAGGAGACGCCATATGGTAAGAGGATTATGTGTAGAATTGTTTGGTAACTATTGCGCTCACAGAGTTGCATGCAGGCACAGCAAGGCGCGTTATTTCCACTGTCTTTTAACTCAAGTTTTAGCTTTCACAAGCCCAAGTGAAAAATTAATTTAGTTGATTTCTGTAATATTACATATCATCGCCTTCGCTGCCGCGCTCTGGAGGTTTTATAAAGAATTTTTCTTATAAATCTGATTTCTAAGATAATAAATATTGCATTAGAAAACTTAAAAAAATGCATAAAGGATACTCAAATTAAGAACGCAGGATGCAAAG